CATAGAAGTGAGAAAAAAATTTCTATTACATACATAAAATATAGAGAAATGAATAAAAGTATACTACTGAAAAATAATCTTGAAGACAGCAAATAGGAAGCAAAAGAGTAAGTATAAAACACTCAAAACAATTAGACAAGGAAAGAGAATGTCCTTACCCAGCATTCAATACTTTAAATGTAAATGGGTTAAAATCCAAAGGCACACAGTGGCTAATGGATAAAAGAAGAAGACCTCACCATATGCTGCCTTAAACAGACTAACTTTAGCTAACACTGAAGAGAAGAAAAAACATATTCCATGCCAATGGTAACCAAAAGAAAGCAGGGGCGAATATATTTATACCTATATGTTATATTCAGACATATGTAAGACAACTAATATGTTCAGACAAAATTTTAAACACATCAGAAGACGCCTGGAGGGGAGGAGGTTTGGGGGGCTGGGAGAAAGGAATGAAAAGTTAAAGAAGTACAAATCAGTAGTTGTTAGATGGTCACAGAGATGGGGAGCAGGGCATAAGGAAGGCAGTCAGCAGTAATGCAATGCTTAGTTATAGAGCCAGAGGAGAGAAAGAGCAATCAGGCTGAATGTTTCATAAACTACATAAATGTCTATCCAGTGTACTATATACTTGAAACTAATAAAAATAAAGTCGCAAGAGCATTACATAACGAAAATGTTTAATTCAACAGGAAGATATAACAATTATAGTCACCCAATATCAAAGCACCTTAATATATAAAACTAACATTAAGTAATATGAAGGTACAAATAGCAATAAAATAAGATACTTCAACATTCTACTCCATACTGGATTCCTCAACAGAAAACTGTTAAAGAGAACAGCAGAACTGAACAGTCAGAGAAATTAAATGAACCTAGTGGACACATACAGAACTTTCTATCCTGCAGTATAATACACATTCTTCTCAAGCATATAAAGAACATTATCTAGGAGGATCACATGTTAAGTCACAAAGTCAACAAATTCAAGAAGTAGGAAATCATTCTAAGTATCTTTTCTGATCAATGTAATGAAACTAGAAAACAGAAAAATTCACAAATACACAGAAACAAAATAACACACTCTTGAACAACTACTGGGTAAAGAGAAAATAAACAGAGAATTTAAATAATATCTTCGGAAAATGAAAACACAACATACCAAAACTTGTAGAATGCAGAAAAGCTCTAAGACGAAAAATGATATTAATACAGTTTACATTAAAAGGATCTCAAACAACCTAATATTATATTTCATAGAACTGGAAAAAAAATAAAGTTTACAAGTAATAAAAAAGTAAATAACATGAAAAGAAAAAGAACAGAAACAATTTTAAAGTCTACAAGTTTAAAAAAAAAATGAGTAATTGTTAGCTATACTAAGAAAAAAAGAGAGAACACCAAATTCATAAGTAACAAAAATCATAAAGGATTATTATGAACTTTTATATCATAACATAATCATAAAAATCTGGAAGCCACTAATTTTCCAAAAAACATACAATCAAACAAATCAATAAATAGAAATAATAAATAAACCAATAACAAGTAAGAAGAATGAATTAATAATAAAAAAATCTCAATAAACATAAGGTCAGGATAGATGACTTTCTGGATGATTTGTACCATTCAAAAGAGATTTTATAACTAATCTTTCAAAATTCTTCCAAAAAACAGAACAAGTGGGAAAACTTCCAAACTCATTTTATTATGGCAGCATCATCCCAATAAAAAAGCCAGATAAAAACCATTAGAGAAAAACCAACAAAGCCCATCCACCAAACTACAATATCTCTGATGATGAACATAAGAGACAAAAATCCTCAATACAATACTAACAAACCAAATTAAACAGAATGTTAAAAAGATTATAAATCATGACCACATGAAAATTATCCTTGGAATGTAAGGATGGTTCAACATGCAATCAGTCAATGAGACACATCACATTAATGAAATGAAAGAAAACCACAAGATCATAGCAATATATGCAGAAAAGCATTTGACAAAGTTCAATAACCATTTGTAATTAATTTTTTTTTAAAAAAGGAACTTACCTCAATATAATTAAGGGCCATGTATGAAAAGCCCACAGTTATCATAGTGGTGAAAACCTGAAAGCTTTCACTTTAACATCCAGTACAAGGCAAACATGTCCACTCTCACTACTTCTATTCAACACAGTAGTAGTTCTCTTCAGAGCAATTAGATAAGAAATAAAATAGATCCAAACAGAGAGAAAGAAGTAACATTGTTTGCAGATGACATAATTATACATGCTGAAAACCTTAAAGACTCAACAAAAAAATCTGTAAATAAAATTTGCAACATACAAAATCAATCTACAAAAATATTTTATTTCTATACGCAAACAATGAAGTATAAAAAAGATAGTAAGGAAACAATCACACTGACAGTGATAACAAAAAGAAAATATTCTAAGTGAAAAGATGTGTACAATAAAAATTATAAAACATTGACAAAGGAAACTGAAGACATCTGGTGTTCCTGAATTATGAGAATATGGTTAAAACGTCCATACTAACAAAAGTACAATTTAGTACAATTCCTATGAAAATACCAAAGGCATTGCAATGGAAATAAGAAAATCCTAAATTCATATGAAACCACAAAAGGCTCGCTAGAGTGAAAGCAATCTTGATGAAAACAAAAGTGAAGGCATCATACTTCTTGATTTCAAACTATATTATAAAGCTACAGTAATAAAAAAAAGTTGCATAAAGACAGACACACATACTGGTAGAACAAAATAAAGAATCGAGAAATAAAACTATGAATTTCTAACGTCAATTGATATTTGAAAATAATCATGACAAGGCCATGGATACAGAATGGAGAAAGAATAGTATCTTCAATAAAGGGTGTTGGGAAAAATAGAATTCCACATTTTTAAAAATGAGAAGAACACTTGTCTCACACCGTATCATAAAAATTGATTGAAAAGAAAATTAAAATTGTTAACACTTGAATTCATAAAACTACTTGGACGAAATCAGAGAACAGACTTTTGACATTGGGCAACTGATTTTTTGGATGATGCTAAAAGCACAGGCAACAAAAGCAAAATATGTAAAAGAGATTTCATCAAAGTAAAAAGCTTCTGCACAGCAAAAGCAGCAATCAACAGAAAATGCAACCTATGAGAAAATATATCTGCAAACCATATTTCTAATGAGAGGTGTATATCCAAATACAAGCAACTCATAAATTAATAGCATAAAAGTAATTAAAAAAAATGAGCAAAATACCTGACATTTTTCCAAAGGTGACATATAAATGGCAAATAGGTATGTGAAAAGATGGACAACATGACTAATCATCAGAGAAATACAACCAAAATGAGATGTCACAACACACCTGTTAGAATGGCTAATTTTAAAAAGTCAAGAGATAACAGTGTTGATGATGATACAGATAAAAGAGAAACCTTTGTACATTGTTAGTGAGAATTTAAATTTGTACATTATGGAAAATATTACATAGTTCCCCCCCAAAAACAAACAAACCCCCAAACTGAACTACCACATGATACAGCAATTCTACTTCTGGATATATATCCAATGGAATGAAATCAATATCTTGGAGAGATATTAACATTCCCATGATACCATATAGAATTTTTCAAAACAGCCAAGCCATGGAAACAATCTAAGCATCTGCTGATGGATGGATGAAGAAAATTGATATACGTATACAATGGAATATTATTCAGCCTTAAAAAAAGGAAATTCTGCAACACTACACTGTGGATGAAACTAGAGGACACTACACTATATTTTAAGTGAAATAAGCCAGACTCAGAAGACAAATACTGCATATCACTTTTATGTAGAATCTGTAAGTCGTATTCATGAAGCAAAGAGTAGAATGGTGGTAGTTGCAAGGGGATGGGTAAACAGGGAAATACTGGTTGAAGAGTATAAGGTTTTAATTTGCAGGATGAATATGTTTTAGAGAAATAACTTACAGTTTAGCAACTATACTTACTATCGTACTGAAATTTGCTAAGAAGGTTGATCTCAAGTTTTCCTGTCATGCTCCCACCCCGAAAATCATAAAAAATCATGTGAGTTGAGGGATATAATCATACCTCCGTGTCTGTAGGGGATTAATTCCAGGACCCCTGAGGATACCAAATTCACAGATGCTTAAGTTCTCTATATAAAATGATAATATTAGCATATAATCTATGCTATCCTCCCACATACTTTAAATCAACTCTAGATTACTTACTTACAACACTATTAACACAATGTAAATGATATGTAAATACTTGCTTTACTGTATTATTTAGGAATAATAACAGAAAGAAGTCTGTACATATTCAGCTCTTTGTCTTAAGTATGCACACCGTATATGCTCCCCACCTCTTAGTAACTTGGTAGCCATCTTAGTCATTAGATCAGTATCAGAAAGATTTACATAAATTTTACTATGGTATATTGTTGTAATTGTTCTGTTTTATCATTAGTAACTGTTGTTAATCTTTACTGTGCCTAAACTATAAACTAGACTTTATCATAGGTGTATGTATGTATAGGAAAAAACATAATATATATAGGATTCAGTACTATCAGGGGTTTGACACTTCCACTGGAGGTCTTAGCTTAGAATATATCCCTCATGGTGAAAGGAAGACTATATGTATTTTACCACAATGTGACAAAGTCTATGTTTGTGTATATATATATATATGTGTATATATGTATGTGCACACATACATATGTGTGTCATACCACAATAACAAACATTGATAAAGAAGAAAAAAATCAACATTGGCATTTTGCAGAGATGAAATAAAGTTAGATCAAGTGAATAAAATTAAGATTAAGTCAAATAAGTTTCTTAAATTTCAAAATGTTAATAAGATTTCCTTATTTGACTTCTGAGATAAATCTTGGTCAAAATTAATTCACATATGCTTGAAAAAAAAGTATGATCAGCCTTCATCCAAATTTTTAAAAATCACTTACTTGCTGGGACAGTGCAATAATAAATCAATAATAAATGTCTGCCAGGCCTTTTCTTTACTAAGTACATCCAAGGCTGTCGGAGTTAGGGCAAAACATAATGTCATCACTTCCAATGCTTCACAGCAAACTTGTTCATCTTCCACATCTGGCTCACTGCTTGCACTGCTGGTCTATAAAATTATAAGCAGGAGTAAATTACCCAGTGATACACTAAAATAACACAAAACTCACAAATCTTCCAGTTAATATTTAAGACTTGCCTTCTCACTAAATAAATACCATTTATCTTCAGTCTCGTTACCTGTAGCTTTTGAGCCCCTTTGGAATAATCTCAAAGAGAATTAAAGGATTAAATCTAAATACCCCTTTTCTTGTTTTTCTGGGTGTAAGTGGTATATTTCTGCATCAATCATGATTCCTTTCTAAACATATCGCTATGTCACTGCACTCTGGGCCTTTGGTTAGTTTTACTATATAGTTTATCTAAAACGAAATTTAATTAAAGCAGCAATTGTCTTACACAAATGTTTATTAAGATTACAGAAGACTTCTTCAACTTAAAATATACTCAAGTACTTATAATTTTTAATCTACCTCTAATCATAAAAAAATCAGTACAGTGTATTTATGACTGGAACAAAATACTCATTCAAATATTCTAAAAAGGGAAGGTGTACAAGTCGCCACTTTGCCCCTTTTAAATATATAGAAGTGACTGTCAGGAGAATTAAATATTACAGGATATGAAAAAGTTAAACAAAGTTTCCTGTTTGCAAATAATTTATTTACTCCAACGAAGTCTAGGGGATAATATATAAATTGCAGAAATCTTTTCTCCTTTTGAGTGCTCAAAAGAACCAAATAAAATACTTCAATGGTACGATTCTACAGCAGGCTGTTACCAAGACTTATGCAGGACAAAAGGCTGAAGAGGAATAATTAAAGAGAACCAGAAAAAGCAAATGCATTATGGCATAACTATATTCAATGCAATGAAAAAGTTTTAAAAAAAGTTTTAGAAAAAAGCTGCCTTACAGCAAGATACTGAATGTTTTATTTTCAAAACAAAGTTTTATATATTCTCACCTTAACTATTACTAGTTTATTAACTTTGACTGAAGGATGGCAGACATGATAAAAATTTAGTCACACATAAAATTAACATTTATATAAAAGAAATATATCTCTGTAATAATTCTTACCATCTCATAAACTTGAGTAATTTCTTCATTTGGGCTATATACTAGCTCTAATGCCCCACATCCTGATGCCCAGATGATTTTTTGTATGGCTCTAATTATACAAATATCAGGCATATACCTTGAAGCCTGAAAGAAAATGAGTAATTAAAAATGCTGACAGAATAGTACAGTGAAATAATCAGAAAAAAAAAAGGTTTCTCTTTGCAAAAGACACAGCAGAAATGGTTGTAAACAAAGTGAATATGCTTCACACTGTCTTTTTGGTCCAAAGTAGACGCCCCTCTCCCCCGCTTTTTTTGGTATCTTTAAAACAAATATACGTAGACAAAGCAAAAACACTTTTATCACTATTAGACACAAAGCATACTTCAGATTAAGACCTAATATGGCTCTATATTTCTCATTAAGAACTTTTAAAACATAGGAAAACCAAATAGCCCAGCAGTTCCAGTCCTGTGTTCACCCATAGATAAGAAAACATACCCTCAGAAGCTCTTGTGATCTGTTGATGAATTTTTAAAATTTCTCTATTTCCCAATAGTCAAAAACTAAGAATATGCACAATGCCCATAAAATGTAATATTATTTAAAATGAAATAACCTACACACAAAATAACACAGATAAATTTAAAAATCATATTCACTGAAATAATCCAAACACAAAAGAGTATACAACAACTTCATTTATGTAAAATATAAGAAAATAAGAACTACTATGCACTGTCAAATAGTAGAGCACTGGTTACCTGTAACCAGAAGCAGAACGCTGCGGATGATGAAAATGCTGCTTCCTGACTGCATCATTCATTAGTTTAAACATCTCTCGAAATAATGTGATTTATTTTGATCTAGTTTATGACAATGTAAATTATACTACAAAAAGTTTGTTTAAAAGTGTTTAAAAGTACTTTTTAAGTACTAACATTAATAGTTAACATTAAATACAATTTTATGAAACTTTAGCTAAAACGAAAAGATTTAAAGTGCTACATATTCTTCTCAAGCTCGTAAAACATTCAGAAAGATAGACCACACATTGGGCCATAAATCATACCTTAACACTTTTAAAAGAATAGAAATGAAATAAAGGATGTTCTTAAACCAGTGGAAGTAAACAAGAAAGCAATAACAGAAATCCTATAGCTGCAAAATCCTAAAATGTTTTGAGAGTAAACAACATGCTTCTAAACATGTAGGTCAAATAAAAAATCAAAAACAATTTTAAATATTTTGAATAAAAATGCAAATATAAGTTATCAAAATTAAAAAAAGTGAAATGGTCTTAGAGTATTTAATCTGAAATTGTGATAATCTTTATTTATTTATGAGTAAGTGGAGACTGTGCCAGAATAATAAGAAACAAACAATCCAAGATCCCAGAGCTTTTGAAGTTTAATACTAACCTCATTAGATATTTGCTGAGCAAGACGTATCGATACATTTCTAAGTATGCACTCAGATAATGGATTAGGAATGCTCTGAAGGGCATTTTGAAGCACAACAGCTTGATCGTGAGTAATTTGGTTAATCTGAAAAAAGTTAACCTTTTTACTTGGAGTAAAAACTTGTACATAACTAAATTCCAAAAAATTGTATATAATAAAAACCCAACCATTTGCTCCTTATCCAACATCACTCTTAAAATGTCACCCTTCCACATATACTACAGAATTTATGGTGATCCGCATAAAAAGCATTTCGGAATCTTAACACTGTAGACATCTTTCTTAGTTGCCTTTGGAGTGAGAATACTCTTCTGCACAGTAATTTCATATGAACTCAATTTTCTACAAATGGGGTCACTTTTACTTCCTGGAGATAAATGACACAGCTTTGAACAAATCTCCAGGTAAATTTTTCCCAGCCCTTCTTCTCAACAGATGACCATGTCTGCCATAATATGACAGAGAAACTTGAGGGAATAAGGTAAACTTTCAATTTCTTATTCCTTATCTTTAAATTTATGTCTTCTTTCCTTTCTTTTCAGTTTTTAAGGAGTTCTTTATTTTGTTCAAAGGTACTTTTGCAACCTGTGCTCTAATGTTATCCTGAAAACATTTTAAAGTCTCCATAGCTTAATCCTCCATCATCTCTACGATTTTTTCAAAGTTAAGTTTTTTAATAAAATGTTTTCAAAAACAGATGTTTTAAGAAATTCAAGAATTTCTGGAGGTGTTCCTGCAGTCACTAGGGTGAACAAAGCAGAAGACTGAATAGGTACAATGCTTCCAGGTTTTCTCTCTAATATCAAATCAGAGAAATTTTGTACTTAACTTTTTGTTTACTGGTATGTATATATTATTTAATCTTTCAATAAATATTTGAGTCTATTTGCCAGATGCCACATAAGATTTCCAATAAAAAGCTAAAAATGTAGCAGAAGTGGTCAAAATAGTTTCAGAGACAGCCTTTGCAGATTCTTTGCTGAGTTTAAACTGTGAGGTCATTTCTACTATTCGATCAAGTTGTTTCATCTCTTTAGACCTTAATTTTCACTTACAAAATTGGTATGAGTGACCCACAAATTATGACTATATGAATGATAAAATGAGATACAGTATGGTAATTAGCAAAGAAGTATTCAATGTATTTTGACAACTTATTTTCCAATAAACTAATGTACACAGACAGAAATTATGTAAGCTTTTAACTCAAAATCTCTAGCAATATGTGGACTATACTAGATGTGTAATATATTATTTGTTGAATGAATGAAAAGTTATGTTTTAAAACTGTAACTTTTACCAATTTAACCAATTTATTTTTAGTTGAGTGAAGTCTTGTGGCATTTTGTCTTACAAGGAAATCTTTCTTGATAAGGTCACCATTGATGTATTAATTTCCAATTCAACTCAAATTGAGGTGAGAATTAGGTATATTCTGCAGGATAACTAATTGTTTTTTGTTTTTTTTTTTTCTGTCTCAACATAGACCCACATATTTTCTATTCAAAAATCAAGGCCTCCAACTCTTCACGGAAAGGGAATTATGTTAAATAAGGAATAGAAAAAATAAAAATTTGCAAAAGGTACAGAAAGGTTTACTTAACAGTATAAATAAGTTCTTAAATGTCTGAGGACAAATATCAAGAATTAATTTTATTCAATAGTCATTATATTTCTCACATTGTAAATCAATTCTTTATATTGTAGATAGTTCTATAGTAAACATATTTTGAGTAATTAATTTTGTATTTAGCTCTCCTGAATGTAAGCAACTTGAGATTAGACACTACTGTGTTCCTATGTATTTTTGGCACATTTTTCTAAATATAAATATTAGGGAGAACATGTAGGTATATAAAATGGCCTTGTATGTATTTTACTGATATGTATATAACCCAAAGTATAAAGAAATCAAACTTAAAGACAGAGCACTGTAAATTTCTTTTCTAAATTTGCTTTTATAAACCACTATTTTTTCAAACCTTTAATGGAAAATTTTAGATTATATAAAAGTTGAGAGAAAAATATAAATAAACCATTTTCCTATCAACAGAAGGCCTAAGTTGTTTCACTGAATCCCCTACTCACCAACTCTGCCCATTCCACCCCAAAATATCTATTCTATTTAAAATGCCTTAGCATGAAAATGTCTTTTAAACAAAACCTACAATACTATTATACTATCTAAAATAATCAATGAAAATTCTGAATAGCAAATATCTATTCATTAAGCAAATTTTCCCAAGAACTAAAGAAAAAATCTGCATCCCTAAACCATTTTATCTTCAGCCAACAACTTAATGAAATCATATCTTAATATAAAAAAAACGACGTCAAATTTAGTGAAAACTGAATGCCACATTAACCATTGCATCAAATCTCAACATATCTCGAGAACATTGGGCGATATGCATCAAGGATATCAGGGCAAAGAGAGAAGCTTTTGTCAGTCTAACAGGTTATGTTTGTCATGGTGTTAAGGAAAGGCAGGGAATATACCAAATAAATCTTTTATAATCACCTACCCACACATATATATCTGTCAGTATGAGATAAAAAGATGCAAGTGAAGTTTTTATGAGACTTAAACTGAAATGAAAAAAAAGAAAAAAACTTAAGGGGAATGAGGTGTCCTTCGAGAACAGTGTAATCTATACAGGATTTTTACATCTTAATATAACTTAGTAGACTACATTAAACTTGCGTTCCCTACTTTGAGTCACTAAGTTTATTTTTAAAACTTAAACATTAATCATAATATTTATTTTAAAGATTAAAAAAAATTATTACCGGTGTTACAGGATCTGTACCATCTACAACTGGCTGACAAGCTTCTGCTACAGCTTGAACATGACCATAGCCTACAGCAGTTAACAATAGTTTAGCTATTTTAAGACCATTGAAGTAAACACCCCTTCGAGTTTCCATATCTGTATTTGGTGGGAAGTTATTTCGTGTTAGCATACTCAGTACAAGAGATAATCCACCACTTTTCAAGAAGTGAAACTGAAAGTCAGAGGACTCATCTGCCAAAGGTGCAGCAGCAGGCATTAGCAAGGCATAAACTACCTGGAATAAAGAGGGAGTGGGAAAATGTATTAAAAGGTGTTAGAAAATAATTTAAAATGTTTATTTCACTTATTATCATCACTAAGAAATATTTAACCATTTCGAAAGATTACAATATTACATTTATATTACCATCTGATGTAAAAATTACAGTAGTGAAAAGGAAAAAACCAACCTCTGTTAGGTATAGCACTCGGGAGGCAGAAGGACCAAAGAAAAGTGAGTCAAGAGATGGTCCAAGGTTATTTTCTCCAAGTTTTGCACAGTCCAAACAAATAGCTCTTAATTTTTCTACTGTTGTGCTATCTGTAAAGAAAAAATAAACACAAACTAATATAATTTGTATGTTCTTAATATTTCATATTTGATATACTGAAGAGTATTATCTTTGATATGAAATATCAATAAATATCAATTAGGCTGAGTTCTATCAATAACTATCAGTTAGGATGAGTTATAAGATAAAATTTTATAAGATATAAACAGACCTGAACTGGTTAATAACCAGGGCTCTTTAACTGTAAATTCAACACATGAAGTCAACAATTTCCTATGCAGAGACCTCAATCAACATATCCTCCTTTCAATTACCAGAAATATAAAAAACAAACAAACAAACAAACAAACAAACAAACCCCAAACCAAAAAACATACAACACATTGAAAAAGAATTAGTTCTTCCTGAAACACAAAAACAAATTCAGGCTTCTCCAAAAAAGTTCTCAATTATTTGTCTCATGTGACATTATGTGTGAACTATTTTTCTTCTTTGAAAAGAAACTTGAGTTTCAAGAAAAGAGCAAAAGAAACAACTATTTCCTAGTGTATAGTTACAAGTAAGAAAAGCTTGGCCTTTTTATTTTATTATGTTATAAAACATGATATTTAGATACATTAAGAAAATAACCCCTTCTTAGAAAGAAACATAGCAGTAAATCTTCATGACCTTAGTTTAGGCAGTAATTTCCAATACAAAATACCAAATGCACAAATAAAAAGAACAAACAGGTAGACTAGGACTACACTTCAATATTAAAATCTTTTGTGCATCAGAAGACACTATTTAGAGAGTGGAAATACCCCTCTAATAGAAAAACCTTGTAAACTATATATCTGATAAAGGACCTGTATCTAAATATATTAAGAACTTTTACAATTCAATAATGAAAGACAACCCAATTTAGAAAAACAAAAGCTATGAATGGATCTTTCTCCAAAGATTTGCAAATGGCTTGTACTTAATAAGCACATGGAAAAAAAATTAGCCATCAAAGAAAAACAAATGAAAACCACATTCAAATACTACTTCGAAACTAAGATGAGATTATTAAATGAAAAAACAATAACAGGTGTTGGTGAAAATGTGAAGAAACTGGAACCCTCATATCTTATGAAAACAGAAAATGGTTCACCCAACTCAGGAAAAGTTTGGCAGTTCCCCAATATGTTAACCATAGAGTTACTGTATCATCTAGAAATTTATCTCCAGGTATATAAATCCAAGAGAATGCAAAGATGTGTCCACACCAAAACTTGTACAAAAATGTTCACTGCAGCAATATTTATGACAGCCAAAAATTAGAAACAGCCTAAGTGTCCACTGATAGATGAATGGATGAACCAATGTGTTATATACGTACAATATAATTGAACCTTAAAAAGAAAGGAAATGCAATTCTGACACATGCTACATTAACTCTGCACACATTATATTAAGTGAAATAAGCCAGACACATGAAGACAAGTACAGTATGAGTTCATTTACATGAGGTATCTATAGAAGTCAAAATCACAGAAATGTAAAGTAGAATAGTGGCTGCCAGAGGATTTGAGGAGAGGGTAAATGGGAAGTTACTGTTTAATGGGTAAAGAGTTTCCATTTTGCAAGATGGAAAGTTGTGGAGGTTGTACAACAATGTGAAAACACAATACATTAAGACGGCAAATTCTGTTATGTGGATTTTATCACAGTTTTTAAAAAGTAAAGTAATTGATTATAATAAGGAAACATACAAGGCCTAATTTCAGGGATAGTATACAAAACAAATGGTCTGCACTTTTCAAAAAACATCAGTCATCAATGACATTAATTTTCTAATTTGGATCAAAGCTGTCTAATGAAAGAGAATGTTTTTATTCTTAGAAAATATTCTGAGCTGTTATATAAACACAAGCTAAAACGGTATAGGTCTTTTTTAACTTTCTACCTAGAAGTTAAAAAAATTACATAAAAAACCAGTAATAAAGTATATTTCAGTTAAGATGGCAGAGTAGGTAAATACTAGGCTTGCTTCCTTCCACACCACATCAAAATTACAAATATATTACACAAGTACCTTCACTGAGAACAATCTAAGGACAAACTGGACAGAATCTACTAAGGACAGAAAGAAGCCACGTCAAAACTAGCAGGAGGCATGAAAAGAGAAATAGGCAGGTCCCACACCCATGTGTGGCCTTTAAAAAATGAGAGAAATATCTTGCCTGCAGAGGTGTCTCCTGAGAAGCAAGGGTTCTCAACCCACACTGGGTTTCCCAGCCTAGGGTTCTAATGCCAGGAAGAAAAGTCCACATAATTTCTAGCTGTGAAATCAAGCAGGGATTATGGCTGACTGAGAAAGAGGACTGCTAGAGTCCCAAGCATTCCTCTTACAGGGCTCGGGGCATGGATTTACTTGCTGATGAACTCACTCTCTCTGAGCTTCAGTAGGAGAAACTCAAAAGGGACATAGGAGGAAGAACTAAACTGTCTGGCTTCAAGGCAAGCACTGGCAGGCAACGCTATCCAAGCAGGTGACAGCGTTCCTGTGTTGAACCCTGCCCTTACCTACCTAGCAAGGGGTAGGTGTGCACTAAATCTGAATCATAAATTAACTTGGGTTAACACCAGTCACCATGACCTGATGATTCTGAGACCCTGTGACACCTAAACCATAATAGACTAAACCTCTTTCAGCAGCGAATCTACAAAAAAGCCCAGAATTGGCTCCTGTTGTGCCCTTTCCTAAAATCTCACAAAGGTTCACAAATCCCAAACAAGCAGCATCTCGCCTTGATATATACTGTACCTCTTGCAGAACAGCCCCAAGACTGGCATTAGGGACAGGCAGCCTCGGTTCTTAGCCTCTCCAGGTTCCTCCAAGTCTAGCTGACCTTAGCTAACAACAGAGCCCCTCCAAAAAGGCCCCAGAACCAACACTCCAGGTCAGCTTCAGACCATACCAGAGTATCACTTAAACAGCTCCACAAACGACACACCCAGAGGGCAGACAGGGCAGGTACCAGAGCCCTGCTAAATGGAATCCTGCTTTGTAGGGTAGCCCCTGCACAACAGCTCCTCTACTGTGATCACAGCCAGTCATCACAACCAATCAGCCTGAAGGTCAATCCCTCCCACTGACAGGCTAAGAGCAACCAAGGCTTAATACAGAAGGCACAACTTACACAAGGAACAAGGAACACAACTGGAGCACCCAGCTCAACTGATCAGGGAGATGGCACCACTAGGCCCCACAAGACACGTACCACATAAGGCCACTCTACTAAGACTGTGAGATGGAACACCCCTACCTAATACATAGAAACGAATACAGGGAGAAATGAGAAAAAAATGAGAAAAAAACCCCATTATCCAAATGAAAGAAAAGAAAATCCCAGAAAAGAACTAAATGAAACAAACAAAAGGAATCTACTAGATGAAGAGTTCAAAAAACTGGTTATAAGGATGCTCCACGATCCCAGTGAGAACTTTAAGAAACAAAAACATAAACATAAAACACAAAACAGAAAAACCCAGTCAGAAAAAAGAATGCAATGCTGAAATAAAGAAGATATTTGAGGGAATAAAAGAGATTAGATGAATCAAGACTGAATGAGCAATCTGAAGACAGTGGAAACACCCAAAAAGAAAGGTAGAAGAATCAAAAAAAAATGTGAATAGTTTAAGTGGCCTCTGTGACAATATCAGGAGTACTATTATTCTCATTGTAGGGATAGCAGACAAAGAATAAAAAGAACAATGAATTGAAAACCTATCTGAAGAAATAATGACTGAAAACTTCTATAACCTGGTGAACAAAATAGCTGTACAAGCCCAGAAAGCACACACACAAAAATGAATCCAAAGAGGTCTATACCAAAAATGTCAAAGGTTAAAAGACACAAAGAGAATATTAAAAGCAAGAGAAAAGCAGTTTGTTACCTGCAAGGAAGCTCCCATAAGAACGTCAGCTGACTTTCAGCAGAAACTTTGCAAGTCAGAAGGGACTGTCAAGAAATATACAAAGTGATAAAAAGCAAGGCCACCAAGATTACTCAACCCAGCAAACCTATTATTTAGAATTGAAGGACAGATAAAGAACTTCCTAGACAAGAAAAAACTAAAGGAGTTTACTGGCACACCAGTATTACAGAAATATTAAAAGGACTTTAAAAAATATATATATTAAAGTATGAATAAAATAATAATAACTACATACCTATCAGTTATTACTTTGAATATAAATATTAATGAAAATGGAAACAAAAAAAGCTAGGACAGCAACACTGATAGCACACAAAATAGACTTTATAACAAAAGACAAAGAAGGACCTTTTAATCCAACTTCCAGGTATTTATCAGAAGAAACACAAAACACTACTTAGATGGGACATGTGAATCCATATGTTCATTGTACCATTATTTATAGTAGCCATGGTATGGAGACAACCTGAGTGTCCATCTGTGAATGAATGGATAAAGAAGAGGTGGTACATACAGACAATGGAACATTACTCAGCCATAAAAAGAAATGAAATCTTGCCACCTGTAACAACATGGATAAAAAAAGAGGGTGTTGGGCTGAGTGGAGTAAGTCAGACAGAAAAACACCATACAATTTCACTTAAGTGTGGAATGTCGAGAACAAAATAAACAAAACGGAAACTCATAGAGAACATTTCTGTGGTTGCCAGATGGGAGTTTGAGCAGTGAAAAAACTGAAGAGATTAAGAAATACAAAATGGTAATTAAAAAAGTTATGATGATGTAAAGTATAGCATGGGGGGATATAATCAATAACACTTAATAAGTATGTATGATGTCAAGTGCGTACCAGACTTACATTGGTATGATTACTTTATAACTAGTTTTTGGGTTTCTTTAGATAAATACCTGGAAGCGGGATTACTGGGTCCTTGTCTCTCGTTACAGTCTTTGTTTTAAAGTCTATTTTGCCTGGTATTAGTATTGCTATCCTAGCTTTTTTTGATTTCCATTTTCATGTAGCATCTTTTTTCATTCTTTACCTCCAGTCTGTGTGCGTCTT